TAATGGACCCTCGGCTTCTAATGTGGCGGCTGCTTGCTTAATGTGCCGAGCTCCATTTCAGCCTGGCTCCCTGGACAGGCCAAGCTGATTTTCATCCTGCAGATCTCAACAAAGCTCAACCACAACCAGAACCATGAGAAGTAGGACTGAAAGGCCCCGGAGCCGCTGTTTTCTCTTTTCCCTACCATCACCACTGAGGGTTTCTGGCCTTGAAGATGTTTTACACACAAAACTTCAGGGTTAAAATTCCTAATGTAAAGCAAAAATTTAAGCTGATGACTCCATTTCAAATGATGGTTTAATAATCCATAGTTCCAGGAAGAAGTTCCAGATGGCCTTTATACTGAACAATTTCTGGTACAGGCAGAGTTCCTTTGAATCCAGAACTATATTTTCCTTCAACTCAACTGGAGTAGAGTGCTCAGAATTGGTTAACTCTGGGTCTTTACCGGCAGCAGGCTCTAGGTGGCACTGCAGTGCAACATTGTAAGGCACCATACTGTGTGCTCCTGTGCAGAAAACCAGGGGAAATTTAGTGCTCAGAAAAGTTAAACACTTTAAGGAAGGAAGGGAGTAAAAGAATCACCATTTAGAGGTTGCTGTAAAAGCCTCGGTACCACAGACCATTCTCTTCAGGGAATAAATGGCGAAATGGCAAGAATGGTGTAGAAGGGAATACGTACCTAGCGGTGACTTGTAAAGTCTCGACACAAGTAAGAATCACAACTATCTCATGTGCCTGGGAGATAAGAAGGCAGAGAGAGAACAGAAATCCTGAGACAACAGAGTAAGGGTGAGAGAGGAATGGATTGTTTAAAGGTATTATTACTCTTTTATTTTGAGGAAGAATGTGGTATGAAATACGTGAAGTTTCTCTGGATTTATTCTTTCACTATTGAATTGAATTAATGTTAGTATAGTTAATAATTATAGTATAATAGAGAATCATGGTAAGTAATACTGATTAAAGCTACTTATCATCATAAGTGATAAAATGAATTAAGCAAGAAAAACTCAGTGAAACATCATAAAATGTCTCTTCTTGTGGACCACATAGTCTAATACTTGGGTTTATGGTAGGTTTATGATATAAGGAGGCATTTAGCCCACCAGATTTTGATGGTTTAGGAGGTACACATAAGCTTATTCATCGTTAATTTGCAAGGATACGTTCAATCTATTCCTGTTTCTAAATGGTGCTCTAAATCAGTGGTTCTTAAAGTGTAGTTCCTGAGCCAACAGCATGGCATAAGTGTCACCTGGGAATTTGTTAGAAATGCAAATTTCTGAGCCCCACCCTGGACCTCCTAAATCTGAAACTCTGGGGAGGGTCCCCAGCAATCTATGTTTTAGCCAGTCTTCCAGATGACTCTGATGCTTGCTCATGTTTGAGTATAACTGCTGTAAAGAGTCCTTTGAGTGAGTATGTGTTGGCAAGAGTTGTGCCAAGAGTATGTGTTGGCAAGAGTTGTGTTGGCAAGGGAGAATAGATAGATTATTCAGTAAACGTCTGAGCCCTTACTGTCTTTTAGCAGTGTGATAAGTGCTGGGATTACAATCAAGAAAAACGTGGTTCAAATTTAGCGGGCAAACAGGCATACCTACAACTATAAGTGTAATAACTGCTATATAGTATAGTAGTAATTCTGCCTAGAAGGAGGGAGGAGAAAGTCTTAGAGGGTGGTGGAGGACATTTGGACCGTCTTGACAGATGAGATTAATGGGGCAGAGGAGGGCTTGTAACTTTTAACATTGCCTTTTATTAATGCCAGAGAAGAGTTTTGTCCACCTAAAAAATAGAGGAATCGAGTGTATTGAGAGATACTATTTGAGTCTTTCATTCCCTACCATGTGGTTAATGACACAGGCTTTGCAAGTCACTTATTAATAGGGAAAATCTGGCTGTCCTTGGACTTTCACTCAGTGCCAGAAGCCAACAAAGTAGTATCTACAAAGTTCTGAAGAAAACAGTGACTCAAGGATATTATACCCAGCCAAGGTGTTAGTCAAATGTAAAGACAATAGGTGGACATTATTGCACATCCTCAAACTCAAGAAATACAGAATGTGTGAAAACTTCCTGGAAAAAATAGTTGTTCAATGACAAGATTCAGCCATGTAAGAGGTAAGTCAAAATAAAGGACTCAGGAATGGTGTAGGCACAGTAAAAGAGGAATGGTAATCCTTACTAGGGGATATTGCCGAAGAGTGAGAGTACTAATTTCCTCATCTTTTTTAGCAGGGAGTTGATATTTTTAAAACATTTCTAACTGCTTTATGCTTTTTAATAAAATTTCCTTCTTAACCTAGAGGGCTCTTTTAAGAAATAACACAATTTATGGCAAAGAAATATTTATCTGAAGTTTATTTTCCTTTACACTCTTCAGCTTCTTTTTTATCCATTAAGGTCATGTAAAGCTAAGTTTTGAAACTTCCCCCAAATTAAAACTAGTTAATATAGTATAATCTTGCTTTAACTAGCTTATTTTCTGATCTATCCATCTATCCATCAACCCATTCATCCATCCATCCATCCATCCATCCATCCATCCATCCATCCTTCTATCCATTCTTGGTTAATCTCTTTCACTCTCACAACATAAATAGGTTTTAAGTATCACCTATTTGCTTATGATATTCAAATATTTACCTTCAGACCTGATGACTCTTGATTTTATGTCTAATAGCCTGCTTGGGCAGCTTCACTTGGATGTCCAGTAAGCACTACAAACTCCACATGTTCAAAACCAAACTTATTTTCATCTTCTGAATCCAAATTTGCTGTTCCTCTTATATTCCCATATTTCCTATCTCAGTTCATGATATCATCAACTTAGTCACCTAAGTCAGAAACTTGGAGTCATCCTAGATTTCTCACCTCTTCTTCATCCTTCCTATCCAACCAGTCAGTAGCATCACTTCCTAAATATTTAGTTTTTCTCTCCTCTTTATCCCAGCTATCATCGACCTAGGAAGTGTCCTCACCAGGGTCTTTGGTAATAGCTTCTTAACTGGTTTCTGGTCCTTCTTAGCCTTTCTCCATTTACACTGATTATTTATATTCCTGCCAGAATGATTTTTCTAAATGCAAGTTGACTTTGTTATTCTCCAGCTAATATCCTTCAATGGTTTTTCTATTTCCCCTTGGGATAAATCTTAGGCTACTGAACATACACCATCCTCAATCTCTGGACTAATACTTCCTTTTTAATTGTTAAAAATTAATTAATTTTTATTTTAAGTAGGCTTCATGCCCAGTGCAGAGCCCAACGTGCTGGACTCATCTCAAGACCTGAGCTGAGATCAAGAATCAGATACTTAACTGACTGAGCCACCCAGGCACCCTACTTACTGTCCCTATCCCTAACTTACTTCTATATTTCTATTCCTAACTTACTATGATGTGGACAACTTCTGGTTCTTCTGAATGGAATTTCTTTGTTTCCTTTATGGCCTAGATGATGCCTGCTTATTTATTGAAACACAGCTTACAGGTCACTTCCTACTCCTTTGACTAAGTTTATCTCTTCTGTGCTCTGTGGTGTGCTGCGTATACATCTGCTGTAGCACTTAGCATCAAGAGATGTTTGTATGTTGGTCTCACCCACTATCTTTGCAGGTTCCTCTGTATTAGGAACTATGAGTATTTGTGTGTGTGTGTTTAATCCCAGTGTCCATTATATACCATGGCACATAGTAGGCACTCAAAGACTATTGAAACGAACTAAGCAATCCTGGTACATCTTTCTATTGACTATCAGATACACTCCTCTCCCTTGGGCACGATTGGGTAAACACTTCCAAATTCAATATTCTCCATTTTTCTGAACTCTGGGCATACCACCTTCCTTCTGTGGACACATTCTTTCTTCAGATATGTTAATACTATTGATTAGGTTATAGCTTTCTTTTAGAGCAATCGCGTTCCAGTCATGTCTCTCTAGACTCCATCCTAGGTGCCTTAACTAGGTTTCTTCAATCCCTCACTCATTAGTTCACTTATTTTAGTCAGGGAAGGCTGTATGTTTAAAAGGCAGCCACTAGGTTGCCAATAAAATGGTGCCCTTGGTATTATTCATTGTGTAAGCCCTTCAAAGTGTGATGATTTGGTGGGTGGGATATGTGCTTGAGGTTAAAAGGCTGTCCATGTCAGGGGAGGGCAGGAATCCTGTATGCTAGTCCAACCTCAAGCGAGGTCCTCTGGTTCTTGAGGACAGAGAGGTTAAGAGCTCTGGTATTGGAGGGAGGTAATCCTGGTTTCAAATCTCAAGTTAACAGCTTAGTGGACAAATTCCTAACCATGAATCTCTTCAACTGTGAAGTGGGGGAATAGTAGGACTGATCTTATAGGGTTGTTTTGGTAATTAAGGGCTAATGTTGACTTCTTTGCAATGGCAGATGATAAGCACGCAACAAATGGTATTCAGCCTCATTATTGTCATCATTGCTATTATCATCACTATCATTTAACAATGAGTGCTCTAGTCTAGCCTCAGCCTGACTACTCTTCACATCTTCCTCACCTCCTCCCCTTGGGATGTGATTTGGTTGATAAAGATGGGAGCCTGAGGAAGACCTTGTGGACACCCCATCTGCCAATTGCCTTTTTCTGCTTCTTCTGTTAGGAGACGCTTTGGGTTTTTAGGGACTCTATTTATACAGGGATTATTTAGCATTTTTATTCTCTGAAGGTGCTGGCATAGATTCAGTCTGTAATTCTAAGGGAAAGGCGTTTAGCTGTGCCTTTCTTTGTTTGTCGGAACATTTCTGTAGATAAGCACCCTGCACAGTAAATAAACTGCATTGTTATTACATTGCCTAGCAATTTACCTGTAACAGACGGCTGTGCCTGCTATAATGACATGATAGCTAATCCATACCCCTGCATGATTTTATCTTTTACTGGAGGAGGCTGGCAAGTTTAAAGGGGACGCCCTCAAGGATCAGCTAGAGGAAACCAGTCCTGGTTTTAGTGAGTGAGGTGGTTTTTTTTTTTTTTTTTTACAGGAGGTGTACCAAAAGTCCCGTGTCCGGATTTTGAATGAGTGCTTCATTTCAGGATCAATTACCTTAAGCTTCCCACAAGTAGGTTCTACCTAAAGCTTCTGTTTGATTTAATTAAGGAAGTCTCTCAGTCCTCAAGGCTGTGGTTAATACAAAAGATAATTTTTTTCCTTACTGCATTAGAAATTTTGGATATGTAAATAGCCTATCATCCAACTTGTCTCAAAAGGAACTAACAATTGCCTTTGGCAATCGGTAAATAAGCCTGCTTTCTTTTATTTAACTTCCTGTATGTTTTTTGATAGAGCCCTCAAAGTGACATTATTAGATCCAAAGGCAAGAACTATTTTAGAGCTCTATTAGTTTGACCCTGCCTACCAAAACACCCAAACAATTTATAGTGTCACCATAATTTTCAATGTAAACTACAGAACTGGACTTTCAATTGTGCCTTGTTTCTTACGGTTTGCTGTTTGTTTTCCTGACTAGACTGAAAGCTTCTGGAAGAAAAGAACTGGGTTTGGACTTCTCAGGAGCCTGTGCCCCCTCCTGGAAAGGGCACAGACTTAGAGTTCAACCCAGGTTCAACTCCTGGCTTTTAGCCATTAACAGCCCTATGACCTTGGGTAAGTTACTTATTTTTCTATAATCTTTTTGTTGTTGTCCCAAAGCTTGTTTAACGTATACTTCAACCTTTTTTAGGACTCTCATTTACTAAAAATACTTTATATACAAATACATGCTTTATATACAAATACTTTATATACAAAATATATACATATTTTTCTAGTACTTTAATTACTTTTCTAAATGGTCTTGGATACCCTTCACGGCTTAAATATTACTGGCAGAACTTCTAATAAGGAACAAGAATTGTTTCAAATTAGGGAAACTTCTCCTAGTGGTACCAATTGCTTTCCCCCCATTCATTCCTACCCAACCTCAGGAAAGAAAATGTGTCACTCTTCCTTGTGATGAATTAGGCAGGGAGGCTGCTTGCTGGGGGACTATTTATATCTCTCTAATCTATTTCTCTCCATCTCCAGCACCACCAATAGCTAACATTTATTGAAGGCTTACAGTGGGCCGTGTGCGCCCCAGGCGTGATCTCGTTTAATCCCCACTAAAACCATTATTATTGCCATTTTACAGGTGGGGAATTTGAGGCTTAAAGGGGTGAAGCAAATTATCTAAGGTCACACAGCTAATTAGTGTTAGACGCAGGTCCAATCTCTCACCTGGACTAGTGTGGAGGATTGGTAAAGGGACTGATAACTGTCTTTCCAGCATCTTGCTTCCCTCCGGTCAACCTCTTCTCCACCTGGAAACAACATGAGCTTTTGTAAAAGAACACCCGAAACCTCTTCCACATCCTCCCCGTTCCTCCCCACCCCCATGTTAATAATCTGCACGATTTGGCTTCTGGCCACCTCCCTTGTCTCATGTGGTACCACCTTGCCCTTGCTCTCTGCCTTTTGTGACCTTCTGGGATCTGCCATCTCTCCTCTATCCTCAGAGTCTTCGTAGATGTGGTTCCTTCTGGATGGAACTCCCTCACCCCCTTTCTTTGCCAGCAGGCCTAATCGTGCTTACTCACCTTTTCCTTCCCAGCCTTCTCCAGTGAAAGAAAGTGTATATCGCTCCTCCTACTGATGCAGAACACCCCTTGCTGGTGGGACATTTGTACCTCTTTGGTCCCTACTGGTCCTGCAGCTTAGAGATCTGTTTGTTCCTGAGCTCACATTAGGTTGGGTTCCCCTGTTATGTGCTTCAGAGCAGCCTGTGCCTTTTCTTAATGGCACCGATCAGGATTTATAGTTTCAAAAATTTTATCTGTGTACCCCTTTGGTTAATGTCTATCTATACTGCTCTGATTGGAAGTTTTATGAAGACAAACATTGTCTCTTTTAGCTCATTTTGTATCCTCAGTATTTAGCACAATACTTGGCACACGGTATTATCATTTACTACGTTGAATAAAAGCTGAGCTTTAGAAACTGGGAAATGCTAATGATCAATCCTGGGGTGTCTTAGCCCTCTCCTGTTCCTGGAGGAGCAAGCAGCATGTGCAAACTGTATGGCCTCTGCGCACACATGTATGTGTATGTGCGCGTCTCTGAATGTGGGTGTGGCATGCCCACATACACGCAGACTCACGCAGGCACACACACACAGAGGCGCGCACACACACACACACACACACACCCTCTCTCTCCATTACAGGCAGCTGAACCAGGAAGGTGAAGAATATTTTTCATGGCGTTATTTTTATGATAATCTATTTCGATGGTTAATTTGGTTTAGGACACTGATTTATCACCAGTTTATAGATCTCTCTCTCTCTCT